TGCACTCGGAATGAGTACCGCCTACGAGACCGTTGTTGCGAAACATGCTGACCTTAAAGTCTTTGCCATTTCACTCATCGCTGACATAGCTGTGCTTGACGAAGATACTGAGGTCCCTATTACCCATGAAGAGGTCCTCCGTACCGCTGGCAAGCGTGCCGAGGTGATGAAGGCGTTAGTGATGAAAATGCTGGAAAGGATGTAACGACAGCTACTTCCGGTACATTCTTTCCTATCCCTTTATCAAACCATTGATCAGCTATAGGCTTTAATTTTGCTTCAAGTTGTCCGTACCTTATATTTGCCTCTTCTAAAATGCACCTCAAAGAAGCCATAAACTGACGCCATCCTTGGTCAATTTGCGACGCAGCGTAAAGCGCTGCCCTCCATTGGCATGCAGTTCTTCTACCACTGAATAGACTCTTCAGCCCCTTGGCGTTCACTCACCATCATTTAATGTCCAGCCTCCAGCCTACCACTCCTTCTGAGCGTTCGTAATAAACCTTCCACACTGCCTTATAGCAAGTTGTTTTAATAAATCTTCTATGCATCTGTGCAAAGATGTTATTTTCAACTGCGATGGTCTCCACGATAGGCATTAGAAGACAGGTTATCCAAACGGCAGCTGCAGGGTGTTTACAACTGTTATAATTTGTCTACTGAACTTGCAAATAAGGTTTCAATGCACATGAAAATAAACCACTCGTGAATGTTTGCACATCCTTGCATGCGAGTTCACTCCACTATGTCTGAGAGCCACTTTGAACCGAATAAATATCTACATGCACCGTTTGGCCCTCCTGTAGTTGAGGCGCCCATGTGATGAAGTAATCGTCAACAGGAAATGTGTCTCGGGAGGTTCCACCCATGGCAAACAAGACTTGTGCAATATGCAATACCTGGTCTTCAAGGGCATTATGCAGGTTTAGCATGCCATCCAATTTGATAGGAGAAAAGGAATTTTCTTTTCTTGCCTAATAAAAGCAGCGCTTTTATTTCACCCTCCACTTCACAAGTGGAGTTGTCATTTGAAATCGGTATTAAGCTCTCCAGGAGAATTTTGGAACTTGTCACAGATCTTATGCCAACAATAACCAGTAGCTCCCGAAGTACCATTCTCTCTTTCTTGGTTACACGAGTAAGCTGCGCCTTGAGGTCGTCCAGGCTTTTGACAGGTACAGATGCAACTTCAAATGGAGCATTGCGAGAATCATCGACACCCCCCTTCTGTAGTGTAGGGACTACCGTGGTCTCGATGTCTCGGTGGGTGGAGAAGGTGCCTTCCCCAATACTAACGAAGAACAGAAACCCCAAAAATTACATCCCAAGACAGAGCTGGACATACGGTAAGGGGAAAAACAAACTGACCATCATATTCCAACCATTTAATGGTATTACCGGAGTGAAGTGATGGGAGGATATTTTGAACTCCGGGGAAACACTCCCCTTTCTGAAATGTTTCTCGATGTACACTCTCGTCTGTTTCACCTCATTTTCAGTCATTACGGTGAAGTTAAGGCATGTCAAGGCACACACGGATGGGGCAAACTCATGACGTTCCTTTCAAATTCTATTCCTTAAATGTATGTGGTCACACAAAAAAACAGCAGCACATGACACAAATCACTTCTAAAGCCATGACGGCCTTAAAATATTAGAAATTTAGCAGTATTTTATGAATTGAAGGATAAGCGGAACGATGTACACCACAATGCTTGAGATGAGGTCATGAGAGTAGCCGCTCGAGACGAAGCAACTACGACACTTCAGATCGGAAAAAACAGATTGACTCCCCCGTAAGACAGATTACTCATGCAAATCCCGTTAGGTAATTCTCAAATCTGTCCGCCCTCCATGGAAGCTAGCCACAATATTTATATAACTATGTCTTATCCCTTGCACCTCCTAACTAAGGACTGCAAAATGATCATCAACCACATATTTATAAGTGTGAAACACACCGTTAGACCCACCCCCAAGTTGTCATGCCCCTTTCACGTCACTTGAGCTCCGAAATTTGGTACTTCTCCATTCCTAATTCAGTTGCAGGACCACCATTAACCAGTTGTTTAATGCGACTACAGTTTCGTTGTTGATGACAGTCTATTCAGTCTCGTGTGAGGTTCGCAAATCACATGATTTCCTCTGTTTGTGAAGAGACTAACCACGCCTTCCAAATGCATAAACACAGACATTTCTGGCGCATAGCGAGTGAATGACTTTAACTGCACCTCAGAGATAGGCAAATTAGTGCACAAGGGTACCTTTATCACAATCAACACGATGAATAATAGATGCGTCTTGGCCTAAAATAAGTAGAGCTAGTTAAACATCGTAACGTCGATGCACTTCGAGGTCACAGAGCTGCTAGAACACGAGTGAGCAGCGTTGCCATCGTCTCACCACGCTGTAGGCCTATCTCAAGCACTTCCTCGTGACTCGCCTTCTGCTCGTGGCCAAGTTCAAAGGACTCGCGGTTGGCAACAAGGGCGAGAGCAAGCACACGCATTCCCGCGTGGTGTGCCACAATGGTCTCCGCTGTGGTGCTCATGCCTGCTACGTCGGCGCCCAGCATTTGCAGCAGTCGCGCCTCCGCCGGTGTGTCATAGGTGGGACCACAGCAACACACATACACACCCTCATGCATCAGCTTCCCAATTCCCATCTGTTCTGCCACGCGCAGGGTCAGCGAGCGCAGCTCCTTCGAGTAAATATCCGACAGAGCGGGAAATCGAGGACCAAATCTACGTTTTTCAGGGATAATTAGAGGATAAGTCACAAATTCAGTACTTAAATATGTGGCAGTAGAGTTGTTGAACTAAGAGTGGTATACAAATCAAGAAAGCTTGCTTGAAACCTTCGGTTTGGGATGCAGAGCTAAGAAATGTTAAGATTGCTTTTAAAATATTTCAATGGATAGGACGAGTTTGCATTACCGAGCCCAGAACTAGATTACTTGACTTTGGTTGGATAGATGGATGAAATTAGGAGAGGTGGAAGTAAATATTCTTGAAATACGAAGGATTATTAAATAAGCTTTCACAAGTCCCAAATGACCTAATTTTGTGACTTCTCCGATCCCCATTACGTTGTCTTTCACGAATTCTTTCTCTCAAACCACCCAAGTTTACAACATTGACCCTAAATGCTGATAGGACGGTTCGTGCGTTTCTCCCTAACTTAATGATTGTTGCTAACGCAGCTTAGACCCAAATCTCCAATAAAATGCATTTGTCAACTAAGTTCATTTAGAGCGTCTTTTGCTCACTAAATCGTGACAGAAAATTGAAGTGTTCCTGAATGTAACTACGAGCATTGCATCACTGCCTCATTCCTGCATAAAATGTGAATTAATTTGGGACTTCTATGCATTAAAATAATAGTCATTGGGCAAATAAAAATTTTGGATCTACAGCGTTAGTGGCATCTAGTGAAACTGTAAATTAAAATAAAGGAAAAAATTAAGCCCCACTTAGAGGCTGCCTCGGTAATTAGTGACCGTACATTAGAATAAAGCCAAGTTTACTCGGCAAGGGTCAAACACACTCACCTTTCATCATTAAGGCCCGTCAGTGGGCTAATTCCAGCTAATGCAGGAATACTGATGTGGTCCTTCAATACCATGATGTCTCCAACATCGTAGTTAGGATGCAGACCGCCTGTTGCACTAATTACGAAGAGGTACTCGCATCCCATTAGACGCATCACTCTCACCGGCAGTGTGATCTACACAAGTGAAGAAAAGTAGCATTTGCATCTAGTTAGGAAAGTATCCAAAAGAAAGTGGTAAGATAGGAAGTTGAATAAATGCTCAAATGGGTGGAGAAATTGACGGAAGAATGAGAGATGAGTAATGCGTTGACAGAGAGAAAAGTTTGGAAAGAATATATAAATCGGAAAAGACTCCAATGGAATGAGTGTAGAATTAGTTGAATGAGTACTAAGATAAGCAGACACTTGAAAGCTTTGAAAAATAGGCAGAAGAATGCAGAGACGCACAGATGCATGAAATAGTGATGGTTTGATCCCAGAAAAGCCCTAAACAACGTACACAACGTGATATATGGATGGGTGGATGAATAAGAGAGGTGAATGGATGGCATACCTGCTGTTGTGTATATCCCTCGTAGGCGTGGAATCGACCCTGCATCACCATCACGTTCTTTCCACTTAGTGTACCAAACACCAGATTTCCTTTGTGTCCCTGCACTGAAGACGAATAAAAGTATGAAGGAGAGGAATGAAGACGTTAAAATTGGAAGATGTGGAAATAGCCTGCCTACCAGTGGCATGTGGGAATCCAGGAATTTCCTTGTAGGGAATGATTACTGGCTTAGAGATGCGGTTGGCTAATTGGCCTAGTCCTGAGCCACAAATGATGCCCACCAAGGGAGTGATACTAATCCTCTCCCGAAGGAACTCGCAAATGGCATTTGCTTCTTCGTAAGTGGCCATGGTGTGAAAAGATGGGTGGAGTGAGCGTGGATGTTGTGTATCTATCGCGCTTGTATGACAACGGTGTATTTATAAACGTCGGTGTGAACAAAAGACAATTAATTTTCCGTGGTACTCGAGTTCATCTCTTCGCACTCAATCATACGGGCCGAAAAACAGTGCGCTGTTTAGTTAAACATTGTTGTTGGCTCCATTCACCGGTGATCAAACTGGAATTTTTCAGTTGCATTAGCACTAGCAGACAAGTTGGCATTAATCACCTATAGACTAAACAAACCACTCTATCGACATTATTGCATCCTTGCTACAAAACTCAACGCTGAATTCCCTAACAGCGACCACCAACTCCTTTAGAAGCTTCTTTCGAAGAAACTCATCCATTAATTGCATCAACTAACTAATCAGCCAGGCTAATATACATACTATGACCCAAACAACCCTACAAATGGGATGAAGCGTTAGTTGCGAGTGACTTCTTTATTTACCACCAAAAACGCCTCCATCATGGCCGTAAACATCTCATGTCTTGTCATTTATGCTTCTAGTTCTGCTTTATGAAAGGGATTTTAATTGATCGGAGACCTTGGGTTTACTAAATAATATAGACGTCTAAGCCCCTTCATTTTTATCTGGCAATCGTGGCAAATTTGTGTGTGGAATTAGTTACTTGCTTAGCGGATAAATCTAGGGAGTAAAGTTGATGTACAAAAATTTGACTACAAGACTGAGCCATCTTAGGGTTCCATGCTTCATTTGTTATCGGTTATGAAATGCTGATGTCTGTCACCGGCAATGATGCTAACCGGGCAATCTCCAGTCTTTCAGTTATTAATTGCTGATTAAAGGCGTAAAGCCGTCCTGATATCCAGAATGCAAAAAATTTAAAAGTTGCACCTTCTTTATGTTTCATTTTTGTGCCCATCTTTTTAACATAAATATTCGACTTCTGCTCTATTTCGTGGCAATCAGGAGCTCCACGCACTAGCCGAATCTTTACAGGTGTGGTCAATGGGGCCATAATGGGGTTGTCGCTTACAGGCGTTCATACAGCCTACACTTACACCATATTAATCAAGCATCTTACATCCCATCACCACACTTTCGGTGCCTGATTTTGCCTGGAAAATGATGGATATGTGTAGATGTTACATGAGAACCTTTATGTAATACGATAGTGGTTTATCCCTCGGTTCTGGTGAGGCGCCACTTTTGTACTTCGAATTAGCCCTCTTGTACCTCGCTGGGTGGGCTGGCCTTTTGGGCCATGCCAATAGCCCAGACACCTTCTCCGTGCTGAATATATATTCTGCCCGAGTATTTTGTCTTCTCTCCTCTTCAGGGAGTCTCGGGACGCTACATTTATCTATCGACAAAAGTTACGGCATGAAGGCACTACAACTGCTGTCTGCTATTCTAATAAATGGTTACTGCACAGACACACACCAGTTATTGCGCTTGCTACCTGAAGAAGCATTGCCAGTTTAGCATCTCGCCTTACGTGCACTTCCAGTTTAAAAGAGGCAATTTAATATGCATCCGCTCACACATCTGTAATGAAGTCACATAATTTTAGCACCTCGGGTCTTTCCTGAAGGTGGAAGAAGTCATAGAAGTATGGCGGAAGACGTATTTTTGGCGTACAGGAGATCTACGGCTGTTGCCATGTCCTTCAGGGCATACCGGCCAGCGGACGTACAATTGTCTAATCAAAATATAGAGTTAAGCAAGCAATCAAAGCATCGTGTATAATTTTAAACCTAGTTTAGGGCTTACAATGACTGCATTGGTGGGATAACTCCAAAACCTTTCATCTATGTCTTCGATTAGGACAGCTTTCTTTAGTGACTCAAAGATACTCTCCGCCCCAAGTTAATTGGTTGGTCTATATGCGGTGAGGGAGATGAAAGGAAGGGATTTTTTATGAGACACCGGATTTGTAGAGGTTTAAAATGGACGATACTTGGCTGAGTGAGGCAGATTGGCCTACAAGTAAACAGGAAAGTAGGAGAAAATAGCACCGTCTTAAGGTCTGATCTAGTATCTCTTTTAGAAGGAGAAGAAAATTTTGGCCTTGGCAATTTTCAAGCAGGAGATGGCTTAATCGCACTTATCCGAAGTGAAGGATTGTGTTAGAATATTTTTCTCTTAGGCTTCTAAGATAGCCTTTTTAGAATTTTTGAGATGCTCTACTAATATCAGAATCTAAGATCTGCTTGACTCACCACAGGATGTTTGCTTCTTGTTGTCAAAGTCACTTCATCTTAATGCCAAGTGGTGATTTGCAATATCTAAGTGATTCGTTATAAACAAGGAGAAGAATATGAAAAATGATTACATTAGTTACAACATCCCCAGACCCTTTAAATCTCACATAATTTGGCTTCTAACCCACACCTTAGAGCCCCGAGCATACTGTCCGTGTCCATGAAGAGACTAACCCTTCCGAAGAACGAATTAACCATGTTTGGATGGGAAGGTTAAAGGGTCATATGTATGAGAAAGACACTGCAGTTTCATATTATGACATTATTAGCCATTTGAGACTTCTTATTGTAGGCAGTTCCATTCGCTTACGAAGAGGCCTTCGTTACAAAGTGCCCTTTTCATGTAGGCCTCTATCATGCTGAGGGTGAATAAATTCAGTACTCTCCTCCCTTAGATTCACCTCTTTGCGGTATAATTATAAACTACAGTGATAAAACATTGACCGGAAGCAGTTTCGTTAGCAAGAAAGCTGACAAAACCAACCAAATTAACCAATCAGGATGAAGCGAATTTGGACAAGACAATAAATTTTGCTGCATTTTAGACGCCTAGACACAACATCAGAGAGCATTTAAACACGAATAAATACACAATGGACAAATGCACTGCATTCAACAATGACTTCCTATGAAGAAGCAAATGCCATTTGCGAGTTCCTTCGAGAGAGGATCAGCATTACTCCCTTGGTGGGCATCATTTGTGGCTCAGGACTAGGCCAATTAGCCAACCGCATCTCTAAGCCAGTAATCATTCCCTACAAGGAAATTCCTGGATTCCCACATGCCACCGGTAGGCAGGCTACTGTCACCTCTACCAACTAATGTATTTCTACGTCCTCCTCTCCTTTTTTGCCCGCTTTTCCGTCTTTTTTCTTCTTATTCTTCAGTGAAGGGACATAAGGGAAATCTGGTGTTTGGTATACTGGGTGGGAAGAACGTGATGGTGATGCAGGGTCGATTCCACGCCTACGAGGGATATACACAACAGCAGGTATGCCATCCATTCACCCTTCCCATCAGTCCATCAATCTCGTCCTTCCAAATTCCCTTTTAGGTTCTTGTCTTTTTCTGGAATTTATGTGTCACTATTCTATTGCCAATGCACTCTTTTACCTCTCTGCCCAACTATTTCTTTCCCCCGATTACCTCGACTACTCTACCCGATTAAATTGTAACTGATCCCACCCTCTCCTTGTAGATCACACTGCCGGTGAGGGTGATGCGTTTGATGGGATGTGCGTACCTTTTTGCTACCAACGCGGCGGGCAGTTTGCATCAGAACTACGATATAGGAGATATTATGGTGGTGAAGGATCACATCAGCATGCCGGCATTGGCTGGAATCAATCCACTCACGGGTCCCAATGATGAGAGGTGAGGGAGTTGTGTAGCACTACCACGTGCGATTAGGGCTGCTTTTATCCTCCTTAATGAAGGCAATTCGTTTTTCCAAATTTACGTCCTCTTGCCAACTGATGACTGCTTTTACCAGCTGTTTCAATAAGTTTTCACTTCCACCTCCTTTAATTTGTCTTTTAAATAGGAACCCAACCGTAGTGCCTCACTTTACTCCACCCAAACACTCAAAATTGGTTAATTCTTTGAATTCTAAAGAGGAAGTTTTTGTGAAATTGGATGAGAACAATTGAAATAGTTCTTCTTGACTTCATGTGGTCAACTTTATGTTCCATCTGATTCTGTCTATTCAAATAGGTATTGTAGAGCCATCTGCCTTGTAGCAATCCTTTCCAAATTCGCACATTTCGTATTCTTCAGTCGAGCTGTATGCCCCGACGCTTGATTTCCCTTTTGATCTTAAACAGGTTTGGTCCTCGATTCCTAGCACTCTCGGATGTCTATGTAAAGGAGCTACGCGACCTGACCCTGCAGGTGGCAGAGGAGATGGGGATTGGCAAGCTAATGCATGAGGGTGTGTATATGTGTTGTTGTGGTCCCACCTATGACACTCCAGCAGAGGCGAGGGCTCTGCGCCTGCTGGGTGCTGATGTTTTGGGAATGAGCACCACAGCAGAGACCACCGTGGCACACCATGCAGGAATGCGTGTGCTCGCTCTCTCCCTCGTCACCAATCGCGACATCTTGGACATCGATCAAGGGGAGAAGACGAGCCACGAGGAGGTTCTCTGCACGGCTCTTTACCGAGGTGACACGATAGCCACTTTGCTCACACATGTTCTGGTGGCTTTGTAAATGCATTTTCCACTAAAGCGTCATTAAGGGGCGTCATCATTTGATTCTGGGATGAGTGATAAGTAGGAGGAGGGTTATGCAAGGAAATCTACACAGTAATTATGGTTTTCTCCTTTTGGGCATTGCAATTTCTCACAAAGTTAACAACCAGCTAGACGGGAGGATACATTTTCCAAAAGAGATGGCGAAATTATAACAAAACTGCCTCCAAAGAAGTTTAACTTGCTTTCCAAGTGAAGGGGGCTTCACAAACCCATTACGGCTCAGTGCAAGCAGTTGAAAAAGAATGCAACCTGGGTATTCGGCGCTAATCAAGTAAGGTCGATTGAAGTCGACGATGCTTGTGATGGCTACCTTTGAGGGGACTAAGACAGTGTTTTGCTACCATGGAAGTTTCATTGAGACAAAGGAGACAAAATGAAGCTTAATAAAGTTGTACTTTAATGTACTAAAATGTGCTTTAGACCTTCAAATACTTTTGGATAATATGTTTAAACTCACTGAAGTGGCTAGATCAACTCTCTTAAGTGATAAGTAGGCAGTAAAGGCTAGGACAACAACAGCAAGCCAATTTTTTTGACCATAACCATGGCAACATGAGGGAAAACACGAAGGGGGCGGGTGTACAATAGATAAGGGGAAGCTGTAAATGCAATGGCCCCGAGACTTTTCCCACAATGAAGGAAGTTATCAAACTGGAACAGATTATGCACAGCCAACACTGCTAAGATCACTACATGCCACCCAACGGAAGTAGAAAGGCGGAGCCCTAAGCGCCCATTAAACCAAGACGAAGAGTTAAACAAACAATCATAGCATTACATAAACACTACACCGTCTTCTTAAGCCGAAGGCTAATCCATAAGGCAAAAACCTAGACTAAATAATGTTTGTTTTTTTTGCCAAAGTTGGCATCTTAAAACTACCCTGAGCCCAAAAGTGAGAGTGGAAAATACTAATTTGAATTCAGTACTGAGAGCGTCTTAAGACCTACTTTCACATAAAATAGTAAATTCTCTGTAAAATCAAAATTAAGTTGTATTTTTTTCAGTTAACTGAGCCGTGTTTGTTCAACCACATCAAAGGTGCATAAGGTCACAGGAATAAGCCCATTTCCCCCCCCCCCTCCCATGGGCACCGCCAATTGACTAGCGAAGTCATGTTGGAACGCCCATTTACCTGCAATCACCTTCTGAGTGTCACTGAATAACTACAAACCATTTACTGATTAACTAAACAGTAAATACAAAAGTTGCTGACTGGTTTGTACGGCCTTGATGGTGACGCCTTTGCACCGACTAGTAGCAAACAACTCTGTAGAATAGCGGACGATTTAATCACCCAGAAACTTCTCAGTTGGTTTGCGTATTCTTCCTCCAGGTTATGAAGGTGGGACCTATGTTCTGGGAGATGATGGAGTAATCTACGGGTGTAAGGTCAAACTAAAGCCCTGGTCATTTTTGCCCCGATAAAAGTTCACATCACTTAATTAAAGCACTACTCAAATCCGCACTTCAGTAGCACTTTAAGATTTTGTTTAACAAATGTTCGAGAAAATGAAATCCGGTTTTTGCTTTGTACAAATGTTTGTGCTGTCGAGTAAAGTAATGATAGGTGAGATGTGTGGAGGGCTTACTGTTGTGCAAGTTGCACAAATTATGCCTGCTTGAGTGCTGGGTAAATTTGATGGCACTCATTTCCACCGACCGGGCTCGGACACTGCATGGTCCGAGACGCACATTTTAAAGCCCACACTTTTCGCTTCCATTCGACAGCACGGTCTTTGGGCTCGTATAAATAAACTATGCGGAAAAAACTTTGGAAGACAACTTAGTTGTGAGGATGTACTTTAGGCGCGAAGGTAGTCGTGATGCTACTAATAGGCACATCGACATTAAAGAGTTGGTTTAATTTCAACATTTTAGGCAAATGTGTTACCTCTCAGAGTGCAGGATTTCCATGATGCAAAGTTGCTGACAGGTTTTAATAAGCACTTAATCTTATTGACACCATAAGTGTTTTCGTGAGACTTAGGTTTCCAAAATGGGCGAAGTAAAAAAATCATAACAGTTGCCGGATTTTACTGAAGCGTTTCCTTAAACAATAGCCTCTTCTGGTAAGTTGTTGTAATTTGTATATCAATTTGAACGCAATACCCTCAGGTATGTGCCCCTGCGATTTTTACCAAAAAAGAAACAAGTTCAGAGAATTATTGAAAATGGTATTGGGTGTTTAAAATAGTAGATATAAACATTTTATGCTCAATATCGAGCACTTCTTTTGAGCGCTTATCAGTGCAACCCCACAATTTACCTTTTTATCCTACAAAATGCTTGGTATTAAAAGTTAATATACTAAAGGTTTTTTCTCATTTATGGCTGTTGCAGGACCCCTACCGTCAGTTTCATAATTAGAAACGTGTTTATCGCATTAAAGAGCAGTGATGGCACCATCAAAAGCAATCGCTGCTTAAATTGTATCACATACGGGTAAGGAGTAAAGTCATTAGGCGTTAACAGACTTATTGAGTAAAATACACTAGCGTATTAGAACCGTACGCTATTAAAAAATACCCAAATATTGCCAGTTTTCATAAACTCAGTTGCGTAATTTCCCTTCAGCAACCAATTTTCACTCCCGCTTGACCTTATGAGGTATCCACTAGTGCTTAAAGATAGTAAATTTGCCATCAGAATTCGGGGAATTCCTGCTTCCCGCTCGTTTTACACTTCCGGACCGAACCGTGATTACAAACTATCTGTAGCCCACGTTTTTACCGTTATTTGGCAAAACACTTTTATCCATACATATTACCCCTTTGCTCGACGAGAGGACCCCTGACTGCGAACATGGTTTCCCAATCACTTCATGTTGATGATCACAAGTATCCTCCCACACAACTGCCCTATTGCAACCACTAAAGAGAACTAGAGCACCACAAGAGTACCGACGACATAGCTTAAATTCTATGCAATCAAAAGGGCAAAAGTGGTCCTTTTTTATCGACCAGCTCAAGAAGCGC